ATTAAAACCCTTCACTTACAATGAAGTAATTTTCGCTATAAATAATCTTAAATATAATACTCTATAAATACCTGATAATCTGCATAACAACGTAAGACTCCCACTAGGGGTTGCTGCTGACCCTCAGACGATGCCTGAATGGTTTCTAGATGGCAAATCCTTTAGAAGGGTTGTATCTAATTAACATATTATAGATAAATTGACGGTCGTACTCCGTTTTCCGATATATAGTGACACTAATATTTTATTAAAAATAGTCACTAGTCTTTTTTTAAATAAAAATTGATCCAAATCAATTCCGGTAACTCAAGTACAATTCAATAACAATTTTGTCTAACATTTCAATTATTTCCATATTTTTCACAGCAATTTTACTCTATATTTGACCGGGTTAAATTGAAACATGTTGTACGCCAGCTAGATACCTCTAGAAATAATCAAAACGATTGAAAATATGTACCAAAACAACACAATAAAATTAAAAGTGGAAGAAGAACTAACCGACCCTATTGAAGCTGGCAATGGAATAAGAGAGGGTGATTCCATAAGTCCTCTATTGTTCAACTTGATTATGGATGAAAAATAATAAAAAAAAGTAAGGATTAAAAGAGGATACCAAATGGGAGAAAAACAACTTTAAATTAATCTGCTATGAAGACGACGCAATACTACTCTCTCAAAGTGAAGATGATTTACAACGTATGCTGCACCAATTTAATATAACCGTCAGAAAATTTTTCCATATTCATTTCCCCAAACAAGAGAAAATGCATGGTTATAACAGCAAAATTAAGATGTAAATTGGAGCTGGAAGGTCAGATAATAGAACAAGTGATGGAGTTCGAGCTCCATCTGTAAGGCTCGAAACTGAAGTGGAAGATCAAGTGAATAGAGCAAACAGAGCCGCAGGTTGCCTGAATGAAACAATAGGAGAAATAAAAATATCGGAAAAGAAATAAAAGGCAGAATTTACAAAACAGTCATCAGACCAATAATGACATATGTGGGACAGAGCTAGAAGTACAGATATACGACGTAGGTGCAAGGTGGAGAACATCAAGATCTGGGTAAGGAATAGAAGAATATAATGGAACGATCATATAAGCGGAATAATAACAAATAGAGTAGTCGAAACGGCAAGAGACATTCCCCAATAGGAAGACGATCAGTAGAAAGACCACGAAAACGATGGAAAGACAACTGACTGGAGGCACATTCAAAAACAAACAGAGGCATGTCTATATAAAAAGAAGAAGAAGAAGAACTCTTAGGCATCGAGTGTAGTTTTTTTGCTTTGAACGCTGATCACAAGAAAGTACTGAATATAGTCTAAACTTCTTTTTAAAAACTGTTTATAGGTTACTGGCGAGTTATTATGAAATTTGGTATAGTTTACAAGCATTGTTTAATGAGTATTTCAGCTCTTTCCATGTAATATCTAACCATTCCTGCAGTTCTAGTAAGTAATAATAATAAGTTCTAGTAATAAGTAATGGAACCCGTATTCAGTACTCCTTGGACATCATATTTTTGTTGACAAATTCCGATGGTGTAGATAGTTTAGTCAGTTCCTCTTTTTTATTTGCTACCAGTCCCTTTGTATCAGTACAGTTTACATGGGTAAAACAAAGAGATGTGAGGTATACATTAAAATGCTGAATTATGTTAACAAAATCGACTCATTTTTACTAGCTATTGTTATGGTCCTAGCTATATAGATTGATATTCCACCCACACTCGGTTTTTTCCACAATAATTATTTATTTTAGTTTTGTGAAATATTTTTTTTAATTATTTTTTATCACATTCACAAACTTAATAAGGTATTAACATGATTAAAAAAATGCGAAGCTTCTGTAAAAATAGATACACCAAAACAGCAATATCATTAATTGTAACAAAAAAGATTTTATATTAACTTTATAACAATTTAAACAAATTGTATTTTGATACCGAGTAATGTATCTGTAATAAAAAACAAAAAGTAAAAATAGAAAATAAATACTTTTGTCTTGTGCTGTCTATCAAACTGTCTGACGATTAGTGCAGCCAAAATTGCGACAGATACAGAAAACTGATGACAATTTTGGATGCAGTATTAAAAGTTATAAGAGGAAACAAATTATTAATTATATAGAATTTCTTCCGTTCTTTCCGGGTTGGTGTCAACATCTTTGCGTCTATCTATGTAACTCCTCTTCTTTCCAATATCTTTTAGATTACTTTATCCCATCTCTGTCTTGGTCTGTCTGTTTTTCAATATTTTTGCTTCACACACTCTTCCCACTGGTATCGTATCTTTTATACAGTGTAAATGACCCCATCAATTGAGTTGTCTCTATGTTTTATAATCTCCAATGTGGATTGTATTTTCAGTTCGTTCCTTATTCTATCATTTTCATCATCATAAGTGGCGCTCGACAATCCGTTGTGGTCTTGGCCTGCTCACAAAGAAGTCGCCCCTCCTGTCGATTCCTGGCAACTTCCCTCCATCTTCTAACCCTTAGAATCTGTAGGTCTTCTTACACCTTGGTATCTCACCTTGTAGATCTGTCATATTTTTATGACCTCAGCAGTCGTGAAGCCTAGAGTGGTAATTTCATTATACACTACATTATTAAATTTCAATATTAATCACTTTAATAATCCTGCCAAAGTTTAATATCAAATCATAAATATTAATATATCGTTTGAAGTGCATCTATGATATTCTTAGTTCTTCAATCACTATTTAATGTTTTATTACGTTTACATGTAGAATAGACCACGTGTTCTTTTCTGTGCTGAGTTTTAACAAATTGCTAATTGTTGTTAGTTTAATTGATTGTCTATACAATATTATCGTATAATGTCCATTTACTTGAGCTTCTTTACATTTTTAATATCTTTGACTGCTACATATCTTTTTAAGGTAACACATGTAACAACTTTTCCATGCTTGTGTGTTTTTTTCATATTGTTCTTTTTAGATAAACTGATGATGCTTTCTGAATACGAAAGCGAAACGGCTTTAATAAATAGATAAAGTAGCCATCAACTGTCTTTTTTCTCCACCTTTTGACCGATAAAAGAACCCACCACTCGTCTGAGTGATCCTTAATTTATATTGGATTGACGGTCGTACTCCTTTTCCGATATACAAAGTGGCCAAAAAGTCTGGAAACGGCCAATTATCTCGTAAATTACGAGACATAATTATACAAAATTTGAGGTACACCTATTTTGGGATACGGAGATTCCATATTTGATATTTGCAATTATGCCAGATGTGCCGTTTCTCTTATATTATTAGTAACTTTGGTTTTTCAAATTCATCATCCTGTATATTCAGTCATTATTGGAATCTCCTTTTCAATACGAGTTCAACCATATGTAACACTTATGATTTTATGTAGTCTGGAAGGTCTTAAATACATAAAACATAAAGTCTGACAACGCCTAATTGTCTCAATAAATTTTTTAATACTAACTATTTTTAACTACATTACAATGTAACAATTGATAGATTACAACATTTTTTAACACAATGGTTAGTGTATCAAGTGTTCAAAATGTGCTTGATTTGTGAGTTAACAGTACCCTAATCGATGGACGAATGCGTCTACCACATTTTTCCACAATTGTCTAGAATTTATTCGAGATTCATCGATTTTTCGTTGCCTTAGTTCTGCAAGACTTGCTGGTTTAGTTTTGTAAACTGAATTTTTCAAGTATTCCCACTAAAAATAATCTTTAGGATTGAAATCAGGTGAACGTGGAGACTATTCAATTCTACCTCATCTACCGATCCCTCGTTCTGGAAATATCTCTTCTAAATAACCCGAGCATTTACCCCAAAATTAGCTGGATCTCCATCTTACCCATATCTAATTAAAATTGGCACCAAACAAGTTTATCATTGTAGGTACAATTTCATTTCCTTCACTTAATTCTTGCAATACGTTAATTTTGTATCATTTAAAAATATTCTTATGTAATACACGTAAGACCGAAGAACGACCTACATCATGTACTTGTGCAACCCTGCGTGAGGATGTATGTGGATCTTCAACAAAACTTTGCATTATATCTGGTTTTGTTATCATTCATAACTCTTTTCGCTCTAACTGATCGGTATCTATCTAGTAAATTCGTAATCCTTAATTCGTAAATTGTAAATTGCTTGTCATAATTTTACAAAATTTGGTGTACATTTTCAGCGTTATTTAGAAGAGGTATTTCCCGGACGATGGATTGGTAGACGAGGTAGAATTGAATGACCTCCACGTTCACCTGATTTCAATCCTAAAGATTACTTTTATTGGGGATACTTGAAAAATTTCGTTTACAAAACTAAACCTTGTAGAACTAAGGCAACGAAATATCGATGAATCTCGAATAATTTCTAGACAATCATGGAAAAATGTGGTAGACGCATTCTACCATCGATTAGGGTAATGTCAACTCACATGGAGCACATTTTGAACACATGATAAAGTAACCATTATGTTAAAAAATGTTGTAATCTATCAATAGTTACATTTTAATGAAGTTAAAAATAGTTAGTATTAAAAAATTTATTGAGACAATTAGGCGTTGCCAGACTTTATGTTTTATGTATTTAAGATCTTCCAAACTACATAAAATCATAAGTGTTACATATGGCTGAACTCGTATTGAAAGGGAGATTCCACTTATGAGTGAATATACAGGGTGATGAATTTGAAAAACCAAAGTTACTAATACTATAAGAAAAACGGAAAATCTGGCAACATTGCAAATATTAAATATGGAATTTACGTATTCCAAAATAGGTGTAACATATATACCATACACACCATATATGTTCTGTATTATTAGGTATCTTGGAATAATTTGTTGCTTATCTTTCCTTACAATAAAGTCTATTTTCGCAGTGAATATGTTTACGTTAAAGATAGATTATTTTAAAGATTTCGCATTTTTAATATCATGTACCTTATTTTTCATAAATTGATCATTGCATGGCTTTTTTGTGTTAGAGAGATGCCAGTCAGACCGAGGAGTCTTGCCGACAACAATGCTTTTACTGTAGCTAGTGAAGAAATATATCAAGATTTATGTCTTGACAGAACGACGATCGAGGTACATATTCAATTTATTTCTATCATCCGTATCATTGTAGTTAGTGTATTTAGATTTATTGTTACTTGTGAGTATTTTAGAACCATAAAAAACTTTGATATCTCTAAATTATATTTTAATGTTTGTTAATTATGGATACTACACATAATATGTCAGTGTTTACGTGGATTTGTGTTAGTAGTTAAAATCATTTTATATTACAGTAATACTGATAATACATGGTTACAATTTGATAGAACTTTTTTTCGACTAAAAATATCACTGCCAATATGCCGAAACTCACTTAAGCTGCGTATGTTTTATGCGACTGTCACATGTGTTTGACGCAAGCAGCAGTCGCAACCGACCCGCTGTGTCTCCAAATGGTAATTACTACAAGCAATTTGTAAATACAACACAATTTTTTGTGTTTTGTGAAAAAAAAATTCCCCAACAAAAATTTCCCAGACTCTTTCAAATGGGATTTAAAGAAAATAATATTAACATAAATATTTTACTTAAAAATAAATTGGATAATGCAATTCATCTTTTATTTTTACTACCATCAAAAAAAATTATCATGTATTACTTTTAATTCATTTACGACTTCCCGTATGGGTATAAATCGTTTTGAAAACGTAGGGAAATCCTTGGAGATTCGTATTCGTAATCGGTAATTCGATATTCATAGTCATTATTTTTGGTAATCAGAAAAAGCCTTTCACCCACTTTCAATGTCAAGAGTCAAGTGTGAAAAATACTCAACCAATTACGAAACCTATCAAAGTGTGGTGGAGCTCCATCGTGCATAAAAAATAAAGATCTTCGCTCGTTTAACTTAAAATCTTCTAATATCTCGAATAAGGAATTGTTTAAAAAATCAAGATACATATCACCATTTAAATTTCCAGGTAGAATATGATAACCCAAGTTGCTGCCCAAACATTAACTTTAAATGAGTGTTGGTAATGTGATACCCTTTTGACTCGTGGATTCTCATCACACCAGTAGTGTGCATTATGGGAGTTCAACATACCTTGTCGCGTAAAGGTGGCCTCGTCCGTAAAAAGAATGCATTTTAAAAAATTTGGATTGTGGGCTGTCCTTTGTTGCAATGTTTCACAAAAATCCACTCTAACCGGTAGATCATCTGGCAAGAGCTCTTGGACTTGTCTGTAATGATAAGGATGTACTTGCTGTTCTTTCAGTATCCGCCAAGTACTTGAAGAAAATGTATTTGTTTGTCTTGCTATATTCCTTACGCTAACTGTTGGATCTTGATCAAGTAAATTTAAAATATTATTTTCTTTATTAATTGTTCTTGTTGTTCTTGGTCTACCAGAATTTATTTTATTTGGTCTCACATTCCCAGTTTCTCGACAACGTCGTTCAACGGCTCTAAATGTTTTTTTTTTACTTGGTAAGTTTCTTATAGGAAACTTTTATGCATAACGTGTCACAAATGCACTAGAACATCCTAAACATTCGCCTAAGGTTAATAACATGTCAGTGTATTCAACATTTGAGTACATTTTGATTTGATTTTACAAATAACAAAACTCTAATTATTGTTGATTTATCGTCATAACAATCAATAAATGTCAGATTTCCATGGTACACTTGGAGAAAATAGAGGTATACCTATTAGAACTTTATCATTACTACCAGCATCAATTATTACTTCAGAATTTTCAAATCAAAATATTCCGAACACGGTACACAATATCGAGTTTTATTAAGAGTACCTTTTTCGTGTAAAATTGAATGATGTTTAAGTTTACTTGAAATTTTGATTAATAATTATACTCTTAAAAAAGTTATATTGACTATTATTTAGTACGATCCGTGTAACTAGCGCCCTCTATGAGAATCAGATATAAAAACAAATTCATGGGATGTATCAGCTTCCAAAACTTATTCGTATAAAATTTCATTACAATGTTGCCAGTAGTTTCGGGAAAATCGTAAAAAATGCGTAAATTTTTTTTTCTTCAACGCCCTGTATCTTGAAAACGGATGGCGTTACAACAATTTTTTACTAAGCAAACCCCAATTATTTTTCAGTTTTTTACCTACCCTAGAGACGGGCTTACCTTTTTTTGAAACACCCTCTATATCCTAGGCCGCCCATCTGAAATCCCATCCGTGAAAAGCACAGCATTCCAATCGTTAACACCCCAATGTAGATGTTCGCGAGCGAAGTGTAAGCATTGTCTCCGATCTGCTGTCAATAGAGGTCCCGTGACAGTTATTCTGGACCTTAATTCATATTCATTTAAACGTCTTCGAATGGTATAAACGGAAACCGTGTTTCTATGGACATCATTTAATCGTTGAACAAGTACTGATGCCGATAATGTACTATTACGTAACTCTTGTAAACTAAGAAAGCGATCTTCAACTTGACTTGTGGTTCTTTTTCTACCTTGACCTGACTTTCTCGTGTACTAACCTGTTTCCCGAAATCTTTGTATTGCAGCAAAAACTGTACTTAGAGAATTTCCTAAAACATTTAAAAGTAGTAACCTGTAAAGCACCAGCTTGTGCCTTGTGCTACTTCTTCTGGTGTCATATTTTTTTAATGCAAGTTTTAAACAGGTTCAAACAAAAAAAACGTTATCGCTAATGAGACATAAAATACAATTCAAATAAAGTTTGGGTATCCATACCCAGAATAATCCAAGTTCTTGGATCTAAACACCAACAAAAAACAAAAAAAATCTGAGTCTGGTTAATTTTGCACCTCTGCGTATTAAATAATATATGGGGAGCATATTATGAGAAGAGCGCTTGAAGGATGGGAAAAGGGCATCTCAATAAATGACCGAAAAATAAACACCCTACGTTGTGCATATGGCACATGCAAATATTGAGTACGACGATGACGAAGAAGAAGACGAAGAAGAAAATAACATAGAACAAATGAATGAAAATAGTGATACAGAACAAGAAATTTCTGATACGGAAGGTGCTGAATTGATGGTTTCTGCTGGGCCTTTCTTTCTTGGTAAAGACACAACTACTAAATGGATGAAACATATTCCTCCAAGAAATGTTAGAACACGTTCAGAAAACTTAATTACGCATTTGCCAGGTGCTAAAGAAGTTAACAAGAATTTAAAAGGTGAACTAGATATTTGGACATATTTTTTTAACGATACCATGATAAAAATTATTGTTGAATGTACAAACAAACATATTAGACACTCCCAAGAAAACTATAATCGAGAGAGAAACGCAAAGGAAACAGATGCTTTAGAAATTCGTGCTTTTATTGGTTTACTCTATTTGGCAGGTGTTTTGAAAAGTGGCAGGTTAAGCACAGACGAACTTTGGAATAAAGACGGTAAAGGAATTGAGATGTTTCGACTAACAATGTCCAGGTACCGATTTAAATTTTTACTACAACACCTAAGGTTTGATGATATAGATTCACGTGAGGAAAGAAAACTATTAGATAAATTTTTTCCCATACGAGAGATTTTTTAAATGTTTACTTTTAATTGCAAAAAACGGTTAAGCCGTTTGAATACGTCACAATAGATGAAAAATTGGAGGCATTTAGAGGTCGATGCAGTTTTAAACAGTATATACCTAATAAACCAAATAAATATGGATTAAAAATTTTTACGCTAGCAGATTCCAAGACCTTTTATACCTGCAATTTGGAGCAATATTTGGGGCAACAACCACCAGGTCCTTTTGTTGTAAGTAATTCTCCATCGGAAGTTGCAAAGAGATTATGAGAGCCTCTAAGAGGAACAAAACGGAACATTACTGCGAACAATTGGTTTTCAAGCATACCAATAGTCCAAACCTTGCTTCGTGATTACAAACTTACATTTTTAGGAACGTGTCGCAAGAATAAGAAGGAATTACCCATGAATTTTCTAAACCTATAAGCAGACCTATTCGATCCAGCATGTTTGCTTTTTATGATGATATTACTTTGGTGTCCTATATACCAAAAAGAAACAAAAACGTACTCCTCCTGTCTAGTTTACATCATGACGATACAATTGATGAGGATTCCATGAAACCCTAAATGATTCTTGACTACAATTCTACAAAGGGAGGAGTTGACACAGTAGACAAGTTATGTGCTGCCTATGACTGCGCTAGGAATACTCGACGATGGCCAATGGTAATTTTTTATTCCATGCTAAATGTAGCTGGTATAAACTCAATGGTCCTTTTTTATTGTAATAATAACGAGATTCGTTTACCACGAAGACAGTTTTTGCACAATTTAGCATTCGCTCTGATTGAACCGCAGCTTAACGTTCGTGCTTGTCAAGCCAATATACCACGTATCATGTCAGCGAGAATAAAAGAAATCACTAAGGTAGATGCTGTAAATCACCTTTAACATATTCCAGAACGTAGTAGAGGCAGATGTGACTTTTGTGGCAGAAAAAAAAACAGACCTACCAGTCGCAAATGCAAACAATGTGGAAAATTTATGTGTGGTGAACACACTGTCTATACTTGCCCAAATTGTTTTGAGGATAATTTTTTTGAATAGATTTAAAACATATATATGTATTTTCTTAACAAACATTAAAACTTTTATATTCTAATCAGTTGTTTTGATTTTTAATAATTTTTTTTAGAATGTATTCCCGATATTACATATTTTGAAATTTTATAACATTTTACTCAGAATAAATGCTCAAGCTGTATTTTATCATTTTCAAATAGTTGATTAACATCTACTTAAATCATTTCCGAAGATAGTAGAACAAATTTAAGTCAAAAGGTTTGACAAAAATATATGCGGACAAGTTCTCCGCGCGCCAGCCTCAGTGTCCAGATTATAAGCGCCAGCCGTGGAAGGTTAAAAGCGCAATTTTTGGTTTCACACCCATAAAAAATCCTGGCACGCTACTGTAAGCGTTTATGTCTAATAGTAGTTTTTAAATTTTATTCTAACTAATTAAAAAATTTAATTCCATATATTTATCGCTGGTTTTAATTACAGCAGTAGCATTCCATTTATTACTAGAGAAAAATAAAATATCCTCGTCAGCATATGTTTTTTTTTGGGTGGTTTGGATCGTCATAATATTCGAGAAATATTTCATCCGCATTCCGTCTGAGATATTTTGCGGTAAATTCGAACAACAACCGTAGCGGTAGCGTAAATATTCCGCTTGCGTCTGATATGTGATACCATTTCATTCTGTTATTTTATCGGTAGGTGTTATTACAGCGAGCTCTCCGTCTACTAATATGTTTTATGAAAATAATTTATACAACTAATTTACATATATATCTGATTCACCGTCGATTACTATTAATTTGTGAAATTGCTTCATTCAACAAATATAGAACTTGTTTTGGTTATTTTTAAACTTGAGATTTGTAGATTTATTTAATAGGCATTACGTCATGTTTTGTTATGACAATTCTACATCTTTGAGAAAGTAAAATTACGTGATGGGAGTTCTTATTGCTGGTTTTACACATCGTTACTGTGTACAGTTTGACATAATACATAATAATTAGTTTGAGTTTGAATTTGAACACTTTTAGTTCATCATTGTAAGTGTAGATTTGATATCGTGTTATCCGGTGCTTCAGCATTGCTTTCTATTACAATGATATTATTTATATTTGATGTGTTCTGTTTCCTCGTGGTTATTGCAAAGAAGATTATTTTCTTAATGTTCTCATGGATGTGGTATGATCCTACATTTTCTGCTTTAGTGATCGTTCTTTTTGGAGCATATCTGTTTGTAAATGAAGTAAGTTTATAAAACATTCGTAAATTACACTTAGTTTAGTTTTATTTAAGTATGCAGTCCTATTTACAATACAGTGTTGCGCTGAGTTCACAATAGTTTCACCTACTACTAATACTGTTCTTCGTTGTTGTATTAAATATTTTTGCAGCGTGGTACTATTCACGGCTTGACGATGTACAGTTCCCGTCATATAAAACTGGTACACTTTTTTTCCCAATGTAAACCTGTGTTTAGACTTAACACAATGGTTCGTGAATCAATTTGTTGTTGCCATCACAGATAACGGAATTGCGCTAAAGCTAAAGCTAAATAAAAAAGAACGTTCAAAAATGTTTAAAGTTCTTATAAGTATTATTATTATAATTAACAACAAAAAACAATCCCTACGGCCCAGAAATAACAATCGAAGAAATAACTATGGTTATTAAGCTGATTAAAGATGAGAAATCACCAGGACCTACTGTGGTACATGGTAAAATTTTAAAGCTATTAGAGACACATCAAATCACAGCTCTTACGAAGCTATTCACTGTCTACTATAAATATTCATTCCACTTCCTAAGAAGGTCAACGCTAGAAAATGTGAAGAACATAGATTAATTAGTTTGATGAGCCATGTACTTAAAGTACTTCGTACTATCATCCACTCGCGCATATACACCAAATTAGAAGAACACCTGAGTGAAGTTCAATTTGGATTCAGAGCAGGACTCGGAACGAGAGAAGCACTTTTTAGTTTGTAAGTTCTAATACAGAGAGCCAGGTATGTCAACTGCGATGTGTATGCATGTTTCATTGATTTCGAGAAGGCATTTGATAAAGTCCCACATGGGGAACTAATCGATATCCTAAAAACATCAGGACTCGATGGTAAGGATATACGACTGATCTCAAACTTATATCTTCAACAAAAAGCAACAGTACGATTAGAAAATAAACGGTCCGAGATCTTCACAGTTGAAAAAGGCGTTAGACAAGGTTGCATATTGTCACCGGCAATATTTAACATATACTCTGAAAACCTCTTTAGAGAGGCCTTGGACGAATCAGAAGATGGGATTGTTGTAAACGGATAACTTATAAACAATATCAGATATGCGGACGATACAGTGTTGCTGGCAAATAGTGCGCAGGGGTTCCAAAGGATGACGGATAACATTGTAGAAACATGTAACAAATACGACCTAAAACTAAATTGCAAGAAGACAAAAATAATGATCATTAATAAGAACACCGGCATAAACGCCCAAATTACAATTAACGATAGACCGTTAGAAAGAGTGGAAAAATATACTATTTGGACTGCAATATTAAGGATACTTGGGATCACAGCTACGAAATAAAAACTCGCATTAAAAAGCCAGAAGCTCTTTCAACAGCCTTATGAATATTCTCTGCAACTTATCTTTAAGTATCAATATACGCATAAGAATTCTTAGATTTCTACTCCTCTATGGAGTAGAAAGCTGGAGCTTTACAGAAGATGCCATAAAACGGTTGGAGGCATTTGAAATGTGGTGCTATCGACGTATGTTGAGGGTCTCATATATACACCACACAAGTAACATAACTATTCTCCAGAGGCTAAGAAGAGAAATTATTAACACCATAAAAAACAGAAAATTTGCTTACTTCGGCCACATCATGGGTAATGATAAATGCCGACTTCTATAGTTGATTCTACAGGGCAATATTGAGGGTAAGAGAGGCCTTGGACGTAGACGTATATCCTAACTGGCCAATCTTAGGAAATGGACTGGTCTAACGTCGATTGATCTATTTCGAGCTGCTGTGAATAGAATAAGATGGGTCAATGTGGTCGCCATCTCTAGAAGACAGGCACATTTAGAAGAAGAAGAAGAGAGGGTTGATTTAATGCCCAAAATGTTTCAAGGATCTTTAAATGTAGGTTATTAGCACAGGGAACATTGGAATGCATCTACTGCAATTTTATGGGTCTATCGCACATACTGTCTTTCCTTTTAGCTGATTTGATACGATATTTTCGTTGAATTGGCAACACTGCCTTAGAAATACCAGTTTTTTAAGACGCGAATGGTACATGACCAAAATATCTTAACCTGTGCTCTCCCATTTTTGTATCAATTGGTGCCACCTCTAAATCTCGTAAAATGTGTTCCATTGTCACTATAAACCTGCGGAAATTTCAAATACTGTAGCATCCCGAATTCTATCGACCGAAATCGAAGGCATTTGTACTTCAAACGATTTCCCTTCTTGTCTCTTGCACACAGCACATACCATCTAAAGTCACCCAGAAGTAAGATATGCATACGAAAATCTTCCGTGTCAAGTCTTCAGTAAAGCGAGTTATTGTCAACAAACGTATTTAGTGAGGAAATTCATTTTGTATCTGAACCGAACGCTACATTCTGAACTAGCTTCAATACAAACATTTCGGCTTTATCGATTTCCTCAGGGACCAATTCACCTGTACGTTTCTGGTTTGAATTTCTTGTATTATATATAAAAAATAGCGCTCAAGCTCTAATCCTCAGAAGTTTTGTGTACTGAGAAAAGTAAAGTATATGCCAATTGTCGGATGTCATATTCAACAGTGACGAACTATCTTTTTTCCTTTTCTCGGTACAGGCTTCTTCTTCATCAACCCATACTTTTTGTTGTGGCTAATTATTTCCGTTTCTGTTCAACCATTCCGAGCCCTCCCTTCGAAATTCGATGACAGCCTCTTGATGGAAGTTCGGTGGGGTTGAGAGAACCAGGTACATATTTCCAACGTCCAGAATTGGCTAAAGTTCTAATCTCTTATTAAAAACAAAAACAAATCAGTCATCCTTACGTTGAATCCAAGAAAGAACAGTAGTGGAATCTCAATACTCGACAGTTCAGGAAGATGATTAACCTATTTATAAAAATCCTTAGCCGTGTTATTCTTGACTGGAATGTCCCATCTTTGGCGTTTTTTCCAAAGTTTATGTAACAACAGATTGGGTAATAAAGATACTGAACAAGTAAAACCAACAGATTCAAATATACTCTGAGCTATAGAAAGCCTCACTCTCTTAGTTATCGTTCATTTCCCGACCACAGCTTGAAAGGTTTTACTATTGATTCTTAAGACTATTCTTAGGAGAAATGTCCCTTGAGTCCCAGAGAAGACCAAGAACAACGATAACTGTTTTTATACTACTACCACCACCCTCTTAAGCTTCTTATCTTCCTACATGAGGTCGGTTGCTTCTGATACAAACTTTCTTAAGTCATTTTTATCGGTAACACTTGTTACACAATTATTTATTAGTCCTAGTTTTAGAGTACGGGTTATCATTACAAGCGCCTTTGTCAAATGAAATTCTATAGTTGCACCAAGAAAAAATGGACTCAGATAAGAGCAGTGCTTCGTATTGCATTTATGAAAGTTACTAATGTTCTGGACAGTTTCTTTGACTCGGCAATCAGTATTACAGAACAATGGGGAAATGACTCATATACATGCAGTAGAATTAGAACAGGATCGATGATATTAAAGAGGCGATTGGTGTGTTGTGTGAAAGAAATATTTCGATGACATTGAAAGTAAAGTTTTATAAACTTGTAATAAAAGCAGCTATGATGTACGACACTGAATGCTGTCAGATTTTTTCTGCTATTGCAACGTACATATTATAGCCAAATAAATTAAAATGGCAAAATAAATTTTTTCAGGTAGGAAAAGTTCCTCCTAATAATGAGCATCACGACCTAGACAGTTGTATTAGTGGAAAACACAGATTAAACAATGATAATTCCAGCACTTACAATAATTTCGCATAACTTATTCGATTTTCTGGTTGGAAAATAAATTCCAATTAATATTTTTTTAATATTTAAAATAAAACTTCATTTTATTGTATTAAAAATAAATTAAAAATTAAGTCTGGCAAAATATAATTGACGAGATATTAAAGTTTAACAATTGTTTTACAAGCTTTTACCACCCAATTATTATCTTCTTCACTTACGGTGATTTTAGCATCCTCAACCGACTGAAAAAAGGGATTTTGTGATCAAGGAACTATTAGATACTGAAAAAAATTACGTCGATGTTTTGGAGAAATTAAGGAAAAATTTTATGCTACCATTAGTTAATCAAATGAAACCAGAACATCACACCCTTGTATTTTTTAACATTAAGGTATGTATATACTTATTTTTTGTAAAAATCTAATCTGTTTTAATACTTATAATACTTGTTTTGACGTAATACTAGTAGGTTTCTACATATTACTGAGACATGCGCCTTTTGGTTTTTAGTGTTTGTTAAGTAAATTTGCGATAAATTTTATGATTTAGTGGTAAGATTATTATTAAGGTTTTGTTCGTTGACTGATTAAAGTTTAAACAAAATTTAAGGAAATTATTTTAAAATAGTAGGAACAATTATTATAAAGGAACCTGACTAATCTCAACTGAGAAAGTTCTTCTTCCGGATGCTTATGTCACTGAGACTTGTAAGGTTGAAACCTAGAAGTACACTCTTCTAGTACTTAACTGAACTGCTACTCCAGTAACCGGGAAAAACCAAAAAAAACTCCAACCAAACTACATGGACTCCATTACCCCAAATTCAAAATAATCCTTCTTTCCTCCAGCGACTAAAAATAAAATCAAAGAAAGCTCTCATTACCTTTATTCTGAGGTGATAAACAAAAAGGCGATTAGGACAAAAAAACCTAGCCGAATGATAATAATTAGTGAAGGTTTGTACACTTTTTGTGACCTTGGAAAATTAATTGAAAACTATGTATTTATAAAAATAATGTTGGGATTTAACTATGAATATTTCAAAGAAGAATTCAAATTTAACATATCTTAATGAATATATTATAGGCACAGAGTAATGAAGGGTCTCCTTACATTACCGAATTGCTTGGATATTTATGAGAACGTGTACTTAGGAGAATTTCGAACAGAAAGAATTCTGAACGTGATTTGACTGATATAATTAAGGAAAATTAATTGGATAAATGATATAAATATGAAACTAGTAATGGTTAAAAAAAAATCATTTACTTTAATTAAAATGAAACTCACTCAACGCAACACTATTTCACTAATTAAAACAAAATCTTCTTACCCCAAAACTTCTAAATTCAAAACAAAACGCCTTCTGTAACTTAAATAATTGACCTCTGAATAACTTAAAAGGTTTTTCGGCTAACTTGAAAACCACGTGCGTTGGCCGCTGGATTCAATCAGTCCTCTGTCCCGTTCAAAGGCTGGATATAAATTGCCTTCTTACACTTTTAAAATCGTTGGCTTCCGTCAGCTCCAAGGTAAACGGAAACGGCAGGTAGGCAGCTTGACCAATTGACAAACAATTGATAACCCCATTACATGTATAGATGGTTGCATACCTTACAGGCAGAATTAAGTTATTTTAAATTTTCAGTAACGATAAAGAACTCTTATCGTTACAAGATCGTCCGTAATTTATTTTTTCTTTAATTTTTATTGTATTTTCTTCCTTTTACATTGGGTTCCATTATTTACTACATTTTACCATTTTCCAGGGCCTCGGTCCTGATTTATTAAGTAAAATAATATTATGTTTTATACACTTTAGCGTATTTTTGGTTTCTGTCTCGTGAAATCCTAGATGTTATGACGTACTTTTCTTTTTTTTGTCAAACGATTCCTTGACAGTTTTGCAGTTGACAGATAAAAGTCATAGCGAACATTAAACGATATTTATTATTGGCCATAATGTATTTTAATATTTTGTTTTGTTTTTAGGACTTAAAAGATGTGCATGCAGAATTTCTTGAGGAATTATTTCGTATTCGTACACATCCAAGTACCAGAATTAGTAATATTTTTATGAGATTTAGGGAAAAGTTTTTAATTTACGGAATGTATTGTGCCAATCTGACGAAAGCTACACAAATATTACAAGAATTATGTGACTCTGACGAAGTATTTAATCAAACTGTTATCGTAAGTAACATTATGTACCGTTCGTTTTAGTTTTTGACGTATTCAAAAGTACAAGTTTACAGAGTGCTTTATTGTTACTGATAGATTCTTTCACAACTACCGAAGTTTTTCATTTAAGATAATCATTGTTATAGGATGCATTAAGAGTTCTATAGGACGCAATATACATCGTATTTGCGCAAATGGGTTGCAAAATTTGCCACACTTGTTCTCCCAAATTAAGATTTCAAAATTATTTTCGAAAAATTTTATTGAACACTCAGAATGGACCATAACAAAACATAAATTTTGGTTTTTCAAAAAACAGATACTTAGTAATATAGATGTGGTATTGTAACGACTATTTGCTTACCTCAGGGCAAGAACATGGGGTAGAAGATTGGGCAAACAAAATAAATCGAAACAAGTGCGTACGGCACTCAGTTGGTTGTTGGAGAGCTGGGTCGTGGATAGGTTGAAGATAAGGGGGTTGGATTGGGGCAACTACAAAAAAAAGAAATAGAGGGGTAATCTCTTGGGACAAACAAAATGAAAATAAACAGGAAACACCTCAAGGAATTTAATATAGGGTGCCACTTGAGGTGCCTAATTATACCTATTACAACCACTAGTTGTAACTAGGGAAATAATTATAAAACATCGAAAACATATCTTTTTCAAATAGAACTCAAAAAGGGTTCATCATCATCATCACTGGCTCGACAACCCTTTTTGGGTCTTGGCCTGTTCAAGGATTCTTCTCCATTCTGACCTGTTTCGTGCTTTTTTTTCCAGTTTTTAATTTTTAATGTTGTTATATCATTTTTTATTTGTTCTACGTATCTCAGCTTCGGTCTTCCTCTTGTTCTTTTTCCTACTGGCACTTGTTTGAATATTTTGTTTGGTATTTCGCTTTCTTCCATTCTTTCCACATGTCCAATCCAACGTAGCCTTCCTATTTTAATGAATGTTATGATATCTGGATCCTGGTATATGTTGTATAGTTCAAAGTTATACCTTCTCCGCCAAATCCCGTTTTCTTTTGTGCCCTTATATATGTGTCGCAAGATTTTTCTTTCAAAGGTGGCTAATAACGTTTCCTCCCTTTTAGAGAGTGTCCAGGTTTCTGAACCGTATGTGAGTACCGGTCTTTAAGGTTTTGTATATTTGGCATTTTGTTTTTCTGGAGACGTTATCTGATCTTAGTTGCCTAATTAAGACATGGTAACATTTATTGGCAATAAATATTCTCCTCTTCACTTCCTCTGCAACGTTGTTATCAGACGTAACTAGGGATCCTAAGTATGTAAAGTTTTTTACCGCCTCAATGTTGTATTCTCCTATTGTTAAATTTGGCAGCTGCCTTATTTGTGCGTTTTTATTTGCAGGCATATATTTTGTTTTTGTCTGATTGATTTTAAGACCACTATTTTTTGCAGCTCGTTCTATTTGAGTGAATGCCTCTATCATTTCTCTTCTTGATCTTGCGATTATGTCAACATCATCTGCAAATGCTAGTAATTGCACGCTTTTATTAATTAATGTTCCTCGGGTATTAACTGTTGTGTCTCTTATTATTTTTTCAAGTATGATGTTGAATAATATGCATGATAGAGCGTCTCCCTGGCGTAGTCCCTTCTTCACATCTATTGTTTCCGTTAATTCGTTTTGTATCCGGATTTTACTTTCTACTTTTAGTGTTTCTTTTATCAATTCTATTAGCTGTGTTGGTATATTAAATTCTTTCATTACTTTTGTTAGGAATTCTCGGTTTATATTGTCATATGCGCTTTCGAAGTCTGTGAAGAGATGATGTGTGTCGATGTTATATTCACTTGTTTTTTCAAGGATCTGTCGCAGAACAAATATCTGGTCTATTGTTGACTTCTGTCTACAGAAGCCACATTGGTATTTGCCAACTATTTTTTCAGCGTATGGTCTAAGTCTTTCATACATTACGTTGGACATTATTTTGTATGCCGCATTCAACACCGTGATTCCACGGTAGTTTTCACATTCTAACTGGTTTCCTTTTTTATGTAGTGGTACAATAATGCCGCTATTCCACTCCTTTGGTAGCTGTTTATTCAACCATATCTTTCTTATCAGCTCATGTATGGCTTTAAGTAATGCGTCTCCTCCTTCTTTCAGTAGCTCCGATGATATTTGATCCGATCCCGGTGATTTATTATTCTTTAATTTGTCCACTGCTGTTCTAATCTCTGCTATTGTTGGTGGACTCTTTTCTCTGTTGTCTGCTTGGTCTAACGGTATATCAGGGTTCATCTCCGTCCTATTCACCCCAAGCTTTTCCTTAAAATGTTCTGTCCATCTTCTAAGTATCTCTTGCTGTTCTGTCAATATATTACCCTCCTTATCTTTACACATCGTTGTTCTCGGTTTGAACTCTTTTCTGCTTTTGTTGAGTTTCTGGTAAAATTTTCTTGTCTCTGTTGGTTTACTTAGTTCTTGTAGTTCTTGAAGTTCTTTGTTGATATATTCTCTCTTCTTTCTTCGGTGAATTTTCTTTTCTTCTTTACGTAGTTGTTTATATTCTTCCTCTGCTTGTCGGGTTCTGTGCCTCTGTTGCATCTGTAGATATGCTCTGTTTTTTCTTTCTGTTATAGTTTGACATTCTTCGTCAAACCAGTGATTCGTTCTTGTTCTTCTTTCTTTACCTTCCATGCCCAACACCTCTTTAGCTGTTTCTTTTATGATTTCTCTGCACTCTTCCCACTCCTCATTTAGGTTTTCATGGTTTAGTCTGTTTTCTAGTTTGATGCTTATATTTTCTTTGTACTCTCTATTTTTGTTTGTTTCTTTGAGTCATTCTATATTGTATCGTTCATGTTTAGAGCCTCTTCCCTTTTTGATGTTTGAAATTGTAGCCCATATCCTACTTTCGACCAGGTAGTGATCAGAATCCGCATTTGCCCCTCTTCTGGTACGGACGTTTATTATATTCGATTGGTGTCTCAAAAAGGGTTAGTTAAAAAAAAAATAAACAAAATGTTAGAAAACAAAATTTAACATTTATTTTTGTGTCACCACAAACAGTTACAACATGGAGAAATACAAGAATATATTATACAACATAATCCAAATAATTAATAAAAACTTACATGTTCTTTGTTTACATAAGAGATTGCTACAAAAATTTTAAATGGTTTCTAGGTTATAATATGGCCAATTTAGATTATCAAAATTTTATGGATATCCTTTTTATGAAAAATATTATTGAATTTAATCTTACATATGGAATATCTTTTATATAAAATAATCAAATTAAAATTGTCTTATAACAACAATGGATTAAAGCAAAATGTCATATGTCAACATAACAACTTAAGATAGATTAAATTATGAGATTTCTATCTACGACAACATAATATAAAACTTTAATGATTACAAATTCTTTTATATTCATGAAAGCAATTATTAATAATGTCCATATAACTTGGAGAAATTAATATATTTCTCCATAATAAAAGTTACCTTAATCTTTTTTATAATCACTTAACTTTGAAAAACTCGCTACTATCTCTGGATTGGAGCTGCAAGGACAAAACTCTCAACTGGAACAAAAGGAAACCATTTCCATACTGGAACGAAGATCTGACGTAGATAGAATTGGATCAAATAGGAAAACGATAACAAACTGGTGGGACGTCCTATATATTACTTCAAAATTATACCATATTCTGGTATACTACTTACACAAATTACTTTTTCTTACTGCCACATATTTCCACTAAAGGGGCCAAAACAGAAAAACACAAATTTGACGGAGAATTTGAGGATCCATACTTGCGATCCACACAGCGAACCAAGAAGAATCTATTAGGCCACACCTGACTCTACCGGCGACCCAAGTACGAATTTGGATCCATACTTGACACTAAGAGGACCCAAGCATGAATGAGGAATTTAAAAATTCGTTCGTATAACTTGAAAATAAACAAAACGCTGAAATAGCAATACACAACTAAACGACGTAGATATCCTTTTGTGACGTATAAAAATTATAAGACGACTTCGAATAAAACATTAAAAGAAATTGCCGAAAAAGTTAAAACAATAAACAACTCTAAAATGGTTTATTTTAACTTGGCCGACCTAAGAAAGAATTGAAAAGATATTTGGGTTTTAATACGTACGAAATATTCTTAGATTTATCAAACATATAGAAGGGGATTTTAATATTTTACATATACGAGAGGATCTCAATATAAAATGCTACAGTATCAAAGTGAAACCCCTGGTTCATACCTGATTGCTACAAAAAAAAAACAGTTTTTTATCATTGAGGTAAAGTCCTACGTTACAAATGGAACAATGCCAATACTTCTGTGTGGTTCTTGTTTAGATCTGGAATGGGCACAACGCTGTAAATTTCCACAAATTGGCAGCTGTGGAGCTCGACTGGAATATGGACATCTTCAACTTATATTAGCCCATGCGAGACTTCGAATCTGATGTCTTTAAATTTTATTTTTTTTTTCCTTCACTCCTTTCTGAAAATAAAATGAAAGAATTCACGAGGACGACATTTACAAAATGCTAAAATAAAATGCGTATCTCCATCTATTGCTTTTTCGGCTTATTTCATATCAGCGTATCTACTTTGTACGCGTATCCCACATCCTTATTATTATCCTTCACCGATAGTGGACAAATCACTTCTTAAAGCGTTCAATCTCTTTGCTTCCGATTCACCGTTGTAATATCCAGTGAATTGTAGCAATTGCTAAGGATATAGCTCTTTTAATTTTTCACTTCATAGATCCTGTCAAATTATTCCCTAAACATTATTTTGAAATTCATGACGATCATTTTTCCTAAATTTTTCTCAGTTTTGTCCCCAATTTTACCCATATATATATATATTTATATATATATATATATATATATATATATATATATATATATATTATATATATATATATCGTCGGCTTACAAGCGAAACACACTAAGTCAAAAAATATAGTTTTGAGATAATCGTGTTTTAAATTCTTTTAAAA